TTCTTATTATGTTTAGTAGCAAAATTCATTATCACAAAATTGTTATAGGAATTATATTTCTGTAAAGAAACATTCAGATTGGAAGCCAAAAACCTACACACAAAACTGAATGAGTTCTCAGGTGAATGTTTACTTTCAGATCTTGAAACTCTGTTTCACTCCAAGTCTGTCTGTGGCTTTGTATGAATAAACAAAATGACGTCGAGCTCAAACGTCCTAACAATATTTATAGAAAACCTGGTCACACCCTGTAAGGGTGGTCCCTCTCAGCATACCTTAATAAACCATTGTTTATACTACTGGAGCACGGTACATGTTAAGTATAGACTTGTTGACTGTCTTACTGTTTAGTAAATGATTATGACCAATCACAAAGCATAAGATATGAGTGTATATAAAATTCAGTGAATCAACCACAAAGTATCCAACTGACTGACATTTAGTGACATTTTATACTTTTATAATTTGCAGATCATCTTGCTGGCTGTTAACTCCAGACGTGTTAAAGCTTGTTTTTAAGTGTTAAGCTTTCGTTCTCCTTAGCATCATCATTAAATTACCTGAGAACTTCAAACATTTTAGCTAAAACCCGTGCATACGAAAGCAGTATTTTAGAGACAGCACAGAGTATTACAGAATTACAGATCATTACTTTCTTGTTCATTTTCCACTGCTTCCAAAACCTCTCCTTCTCTCTGTGACATTTCATTAATAACAAGGTGTTCTGGAGCACTGAGTCGTGATAAAAAAATAAAGAAAAGTAATTGCACTGGGAGAAGGTGATAATTAAGAAAAAAATGGTAAGCCTTAACTTTAAAGTTTCACACAAACCTTTTGCATGACCTTTTAGATGTTTTGATCCTTTCGTAGCTCAATTAGAAGCTTTAAACATTTCACTGCATTCCAGTTTCTTTTTAAACCATGAAGCACATTTGTATCTAAAGTTGCCGACGTGGCATTTTTGTGTCAGGTCAAAGTTTTCCAGTAGACAAAACTTTGTCATTTGAAGAGGAGAGTAAAGGCATCGTTGCGCTTGTCTGAAAGAATCAGACTCATACTGTACAGTACAATATGATGAATGAGTCATTACAGGGACTGCTGGCTACTCATGCCCAGGCGCCAGGCAAACAGTGTTTAAACTTAACAGAAGGAGAAGGGGGAGCCATGATGAGGAAGGTGGTTGAACTGGTTCAGAGCCTGTTGCTATGGTAGCCATGTGGAATAAATCAGCAGCATGAATTCCATTCACAGATGCCTTGAGCTTCCCACCGACTCAGGTGGACCTACACAGAATATGAATGAGTACAGCGTGAGCACAAAGACGCAAATCAAAATTACCAAAGTTAAGTGTTTGGCTTTAGAAATGAATTTTTCCTTTCGATTTAAGCCCCTTGAATCATTATTTTACTTGTGCTACACAGATACTTCCTTCCCCCCATGGTGGGTTGCATGCTTGAAGCCCCTGTTTGCTGTCATAAGGAGAGAGGCAGGCAGTCCATCACAGGACCAAAGCTGAGACAAACTCAACCAAACCAACCATGCGTGGACACACTCACAAACATGGTCTATATGAAACCACCAAGTTAACCCAGCATCACTGTTTTATAACCAAAAGAGCTGTGAAATTCAGACTTTACACATTCAAACATCACACTGTTATAACGGTCTGTTCATCTAATTACTGTTTGGAGAATGTTTACACAAACAGCGCACAATAATTACATGAAAACTGAATTATTTTCTTTTTTTTTCTTGGTTTTTTTTTTTTTTACAAACTATGAATATGCACTGCAGTTTGCCAAACAAGCAAGACAAGAGACAATTTGTGAGTAACATGCTGGGTGCAATTTCCAACAGCAGAAGTGTTTTTGGGTTGGTAAATGACAATTTGGGGAAAATGGGGAGCTGACTGGTATTTGCAAAAAAAAATGTAAAATGGCAACACATTTTTCTTTTATGTTTAATAACATGATGCTCTTCGAAATATGTTTGTCAAGTACTGCATTTTTTTAAAGCAGAAGCTTCTAATAAATCACAACTCATAAGATATTATTTTATGT